ACCTGAAGACTTAAGTGCCTAAAATGCCCTAACTCTCCTTTTGCCTTTTTATTCTTATCCCAACGAGAGCAAAGCTGTATCTAGAACATGAGATGTCACCCTTATCTTTTTGAAAAATCTCGTTTCAATATTGCTTTCAAACCTTAAAAAAAAAAAAACTGAATATGAAATCACATTTTAATTTTATGAAATGAAAATTTTAACATTTCTAAATGGCAACACTTTATAGACTTCTAAATCTTCAAATACTTATGTCTCTTGATTTAAAATACTTAACGTTGAACACATAGACACATAATATATAAAATTTAGGAGTATTATTTTCCTTATCATCTAACTAGTAGTTAATGCTTATGTTACCTATATGCTTCATTTATATTCAGATGATTCTTCCAGCTCTTCAGCCTGTGAATTAGAGAAGTTATTTATACAATATCCAAGGATAGAAAAGATACAACCAGATTGTATCTCTAATTTGAAGACAGTTGCACTTGGGAGTTTTCTGTATAAGATTTGTATGTGATTTTATTTTTATTTTCACTTAACTTTTTTTAAAATCACAATTGTATTGCCATCATTTCAGAGTTTATAAGCTGTGCCTTTAGCAGCTGACTAATGTCTCATTTTTTTCTGCTATTTCTAGCATCTTCTCTCTTTAACCATACCTTCATTGGAGTAACCGCGTATAACATTTTGAAAAATCCTAAAAAAATCCTCAAACATTGCCTAGAATTTTTTAAAGAGAATAAAACCTGGACTCTTCATTCAGCTGAAGCTGTAAGATGTTCACAGCTGGTTGCCAGTTGCCTACTGTGTGTCATGGACTACATAGACCCTGAGCAAGGTGGCTACTTTTGGAAGTGCCGTAGCGCACCACACAGATCCCCTTCCAGACTGATGCTCTCATTTCTCCAGTTGCTGGGATTGCTGGCGGCTGATGGTGCATAGCTGAGTCTCTTTCTGGTGATTACTGCCAAACAGAGGGAATGTCTTCATGCAAAATCATCCTCCTCTTTGCAAGTAGGCTGTGTCCCTGAGGTTTAAAGTGCCTACCCTCTAGTTTCAAGAAAGGACAGCTCTGCAGAGCTATTCCAGCTCTAGAGTTCTCCATGGAACTATCAGGAGCCTTTGCTACAGCTGTGTCATAGTTCAACCCCTCCGTTTGCCCAAGTGCTTCTTGTATCCGCCCCACAGGTGTTGATCTCAAAGACACTTCAATAATATATTGCACACAAATCTCTTTCAGAATCCGTTTCCCAGAAAATTCAACTGAAGACTTTAGCTCCAAGCAGGGAGAGTGGGGTGGTCACAATTTGGTCATGGAGGTTGACATAAACCATTAAATCAAGTATATTATATTCAGTGTCATAAAAGCAGCATCATATAATCCTATAGGAGCAGAAGCAGCTTATTTTGCTTGGAGTATAGCAGAGGGAGAATTAGGAAAGGTTTTGTAGAAGAGGTGACATTTGAGCTTAACTCTGAAGAATAAGTAGGTACTCATGAGGCAAAAAAAGGATGTGAGGTAGTCTGGACTCATAAAAGAATGTAGATTCTTAAAGATGTGGCAGAGAGCTCAGTGACAGCTAGAAAGGGGGCTCTATGGGGAGAACAGTAGGGGAGGATCTGGAGCCAGGAGTGAAGCACTCTACTGATGCCGAGATTCTTCTGGGATGGAGTGCGCTCTTCCTCTCTAATGCTCCGTTGAACGAACGTGGCACCGTATCACATACAAGATAGGACTTGAGTAGACAGAGATGCCTTCTTCCACTTATTTGCTTCCACTCTTTTTCTCTTTTCCTAAAAACTATTTTATTAACCATTTCATTTTAAGCTACTTTAGAAAAGCCTCCTGCTTATGTGAAGAGTGAATCTTTTAGTCTGGCTTTAAAATAACCTTTATAAGAAGACACAAAGATCTTCCTCTGTCTTGCTTAAAATTCTATCATTAGTAATTGCTGGAATTCCAAGCGGTAAGATAGTAAAGGTTATATACAGTCCAGGTTTCTGACTCATGAAACCTCCTTTCACACCTCAGGTGAGGGGTTATCTGGTTGTTTCTAGTATATCTCTAGTAATGGAAATATCAATATTTTCCTGCTGTTAATACTAATACATCATGGAGTAATAAAAAGCAGAGTTGGAATTAGTCGTTGTTTTACATTTGAGAAAACTGAGGTCCAGAGAGAAGAAATTATTTACTTAGGGTCATACAATGGATATTGACAAAGTCAATTTATAGTCTTTGTAGCAACTTTTCTTTGTGCTACACAGTGAATTTACCAGACCTCTCTCTGAATTATTCAGAATCAGGAAACTGGGGTACCAAACCCTCCTTAGCCCCTAATGAACTCCATGACTCAGGCCCAAAGGTATCAGTGCTCCAGGTCTGTGTTCTCACAGAAGCCTGGGCTGGAGGAGCTCCCAGTGCCCTCCTTTGTCACATTTAGAGTCTTTATCCTTTCTCTAAGAGAGGATATATCTGAGGGTCCTAGTGGACCAGCTAAAGGCTGAAAGAGAAGAAAGAGTATGGTAAAGGGAGCTGGCCATAGAAGGTTAATATGCTCCCTCCACCATTTGCTAGTGCAAGCTTCCAGTCAGCTGCATTCTTGAAACCTTTATTTTCTGATTTGGGGGCATTTTACAATAGTCTCACTCAGGCACATTTTACACTGCTTTTCCTTTGTAGCAGAAATGTTCAGATTACCTGTCCTTTAAACAGTGCTTCCACAGACCATAAAGCCTTTCCTTAGAAACTGATCCAACCTTGTACATTGCTGCCAGTTTTGAGTAAATGGGCTGAATCTTGCAGTCAAGCCTCAAGGCAAACAAAAAAATTTTCTGGTCAAGCATTTTCTGGTTTATTCAACTCCATTACAGGGCTGGCTTAAAAAAAAAAAAAAGCTGAAACCCACAGAAGAGCAAAACACAAGCCCTGAGAAGACAGTTCCCAGCCACATGAGCTCAGCTCCCCAGGGTAGAAAAGAAGCAGGGCCCTCATTGTCCAGACCGTCATCATCTCTAGACTCTCATCTTCTGTTCTTCTGCTATTTTAATTTCACCACTTCAAAATGGGGGGGAAATAGGTTAATAGTTTCCATGAGTTTAGACTGTGACCAGAGGCGTACTAAGCAATTTCAGAACCTCCAACAACCGCAGATTTAAGGAGAGGATAGTGATGGATTTACCAATTCATCTTGGGATGGATTCCAGAACCAGAGGAGTCAGGCCAGCATGGTGGAGCCAGGGTGGGATATACATAAAATTCCTTCCTTCATTCTCTTTGTATGCATGCATCCTGGGTTTGTACTTATTCCAGGTAGTGTACTGGGTGTAGGATGAGGTAGAGAAATGCATTCTTCAGACATAGTCCCTGCCCTTAAAAAATTACAGTCTAGTAGAAGAAACAGACATGTGTGCAAGGAATTTTAATACAGGGAACACTGTAAGTGCTATAAGCAGCTTAAATGAAGTGCTCGGGAAGGAGAGAAAGAAGCAATTTAATTCTAACTGCCGACATCTAGGAAGGCTTCACAGAGGAGTTGCTTTCTGACCTGTACCTTGAAAGGTCGAAGTGGCAGACGGCAATTCATTCTAGGCATTGGTCAATGCACGGTCTCTCACAGCTGTGGACAAGAGTATGCCGTCTAAGACATGAGAGGAATCTGAGCCTAGAAAGGGAAGTTGAACGTCAGGTCGGAAGCTAGCTCTTCTCACACTGCGGAGCCATGTACATTTTTTTCTATGTTGTTTGGTCATATCTGTGTTTTGGAAAGGAAATTGGAAGTCTGGGGTGAAGAAGTATAACAGGAGGAAAGATGCAAACAAGGGAGCCAGCCAGGGACAATTGTGACAGCCGAGACAGCAGTCCCTTAGTTCTCTACCTAAAGGTACTTCTTGCCTCGCGGCCATTTAAAGGTTATCATGGTAGGACGGCGATTACTCCTTAATTTCCACATTTCCTCCGGTTCTGCATCCTGCTAATCAGACCCCCATCCTAGGCTTATTCTAGATTGTAAACCCAGTGAGTCAGTCCAGGTATCTCAGTTGTAATGCAGAATAGTACATGTGGAAGGTGGTTGTTTGGTAAGACAACATGGGATTCTAGGGAAGGGATGGAAAGTTAATAGCTAATTTTATCATTCTTTCTGAATCCTGACTCAATAAATCATATCCCTTTGGGGAGAGTGTGTTTTTAAAACTCAGCATATTTTTAAACCCAGATAAATTGTCATTCTTAATTCACTTCTCAAAACTGGAACCCCTCTAGGTCCAACATTTCCATCAGAAGTTCACAACTCTAAACCTGGCAGTGGTGTTTGAATCAGGCTTTAAGTGATTGAAAGCCTCCTTGGTTATGTCAGGCTCTGATTAACTTCCACAACTGGCATGCACTGCTGGTCTCAATCATCAGACCACTCTTTACATTGTAATGTTTTTGGTGACCCCACTAAGTCTTTGAGGATTAATCAAGTTTTGGAAGTAGCAGTGAGGTGTCTTCCAGTGGAGAGCCTGGTTTATGTAGTTCAGGGACCAACAAATCAGAGCCATGGGCCAAATACAGCCTGCTTTTATAAATGAACTTTTATTGGAACACAGTCATGGCCATTTGCTTATGTACTGTCTATGGCAGCCTTCATGCTACAATGGCAAAGTGAGTCACTGCAACAAAGCCCGAAATACTTACTACATGGGATTTCATAGAAGTTTGCCATTACCCCTGCTACTGGGGAAAGGAACAAGTATAGAAGTCAGCAAATTCATTCGGTGAATCCTAGATTTGCTACCTGCTCCCTGGGTGACCTTAGGAAAGCCACTTGATGTGCCTAATTGTGTTTTCTTCTCTCTGTAATAAAGATACACGTTCTGCCTTCCTCCAAGCACTGCAGTAAGCACACAAATCAGCGTGCGCTGTAACAGCGCTTGCCCTCTCTAAGTTACCATGTAAACAGGGCTGCTCAAGTCCCAGGCTAATATTGGCATTTTTCTTTCCTCCCCAGAATACCCTGGAACAATGCAGTGTGTGCTCCAAGCCCATCATGGAGCGGATTCTCCGAGCCACTGGGAAGGCCTATCACCCTCACTGCTTTACCTGTGTGATGTGCCACCGCAGCCTGGATGGGATCCCTTTCACCGTGGATGCTGGCGGCCTCATCCACTGCATTGAGGACTTCCACAAGTAGGCAATCTACTCTCCCTCCTCCGGCCTATCCAGCCTCTTGGATTCTGCTCTTACTGCTTGTCCCTGGGCCACACATTCTTCTCTCTTAGAGCTCTAGAATCTCAGGCTTTGGTAGGACCTTAAAAAGGGCTTATTTATCCCCTGCTCCAGTACAGAAATTGCTATCAGGTGATCCATGTGGTCCTCCAGCATGATCTCTGCTTCAGACTTTCCTGGGGCTTGTCCATTGCATCTTTGTGTGACTACAACTGTGAAGAAGTTGACTCTGCCACAGAGTATGTGTATTGAAAAGAGGCAGGATCCTGGGGTAGCCCTTCCTGACCTGAACATGAACAAGATGTATGTGGTGACAAATTGCTCAATTTCTCTGAGTTCTTCAGATTGATCATTAGACTCGGGCCTTGTCTTAAAGCTTCCCAGCTCAGGGTTTTCTCTAGAGCTGACCTCTATATCTTTACCTCTCTGCAGATAGGAAGTTATGTGGGGACAGACACAGAGGACAGTTCAGTTCCTCTTAGTTCTGCAAGTCTCTCACATGTTTGAAGTCATTATGGACATATTCATACCCTCCCCAACCTCTTCCACTACCCAGGTATTCTCTTCATCAGGATATATCCTAAAGAAAATTAATGAAGGCATTATCATACAGTCTTTTGAGGAGGATTAGAAAGTAGAGCCTTCAGGAAAGACCACTTACTCATGGGACTGGAAAAACATGTCTCCCCCTTCCTCGATTATCTCATTTATAGGTCTTTTCCCAATTTTATTTGGCCAGTTTGTTAATTGGTTGACGACATTTGTTACTTATTTTTAGGAACTGTGTCAAAGCTGTAATGTGACCTATGAATCATGGACACGAAGGCTGCCTGGCTTATCTGTTTGCTGGGCAGTAGCTTGAGGCTAGTCTGAGGCTCTCAGAGAGGTGAAGGTCATCTCACTCCCCAGTGTGGGTGTCCATTCTGTGGCCCCCAGATGTGCAGCTTTGTGGGGTAATTGGCACCACACTGTTGATTGTCAGCAATTAGGAGGAACTTGCCACAAGCAGTTTAGGGACCTCAGACTCATATTTTTAAAATGAGTTTCCTGATGACTTTCCAAGTAGCAAAGAAAGTGAAAACCTCACCAAAAGATGTGGGCCTGAATGAATTAAAAAAACCCAGAGGCAGGAATTCTCAACCTGAGTTAGACAAGGAAGGCTCATTTTGAAAGGGCAGTCACAGCATAAATTGTATTTCCATTATTGATATTTTTAGCTTGTAATTACATATAAAAAACTGCATCTATTTAAAGGAAGTGAAAAGATACCGATGGGAGTGTGCTTCTGTCACTGCCTCTCTCCTTTCTTAGACTTTGCCTAATCCAAGAAAGACTGATAGATAGAATCAGAGCACACATGTTTCTGTTGCTGTAGAAGACTGATATATTACACCCCTCAATTAAAATGGGAAATCAATTCTGACAAATGTAAGTTTATATCCATGCCATTGATCTAAGAGTGGGGATCATAATTAGAGACCTACGGCTGATGACATGAGTGTGTGGCTCTGAACACTCCAGAAGGGGAGACTTGAGCAACTGAAAAGGAAATATCATCTCAAACCCCCAACTATCCCCACCACCACTAATCCAGTGGCATGTTAAACATAAATTATTTTTTAAAAATAATGTTGTCAGCATGATTGTCAGGTATGTAGTGGGGGAAGCTTTTTGAATCTCTTGCCATTTCCCAATGGAAAGAGCAGATAAATTTTACAGAACTCTGTTTCTGAGCCTTGAAAGAACTAGAACACAGAGCAGCTGTAAGGCCACCTCGAGGTGTGCATGGCAAAGTGGAGAAGGCTGACGGGGGATAAAGCCTCCTCATGCAGACAGTCCTTTGGGGCCTTGTTCCTTGTCTTTCTGAGCAGGTCCCCCTTTGTGAACACCTAGGAAATGTGTTTCAGTTCAGCTCAACCACATCTACAAAGAGCCCTCTTTCTGTGCATCACTGTGCTAAGTGCGGAAGGAGAGATGTACAAGGAGAGAAATCGCTTAGCTAGAAACGGCACAGGTACAGGGAGAAGCCCCTGTGGGCAAGGAGTTTGCCAGGAGGAGGGGAAAGAAGAAGTATACAGAATTTGTGTGACCTCAGGCAGAAAAGGCTAACAAGATGACATGGGCGTCAGCAAAGGCTGAGGCTCTCACTGTCAGAGAGGTTACTTGGCCCTGGGGTTGGGTAGGCTTCAGGGAGCAGATTTTGAAGTGTTTTAAGGGGAAAACAGATTTCTGGCCAAAGGAACAACTCAGACAATAAAGAAGGGTGTGGAATTACGAAAGGCTGGTTTACATTCGAGGAAGACGTGCTTAGCTGTAACCAGAGCAGCCTGGAAGTGAGAAGTATGATGAGATACAGAAGGCCTGTGAGAGGGATTTGAACTGCTTGTTTAGAATCCTGTCTTCAAAATCAGTGCTTCCCAAACTTGAATGTACTTCCAAGTCATCTAGGGTCGGTGTTAAACTGCAGATTTTAATTTAGTTGGTCTAGGGTAGAGCCTAAGATTCTGCATTTTTGACAAGCTCCCAGATGATCTCAGACTGCACATTGAGTAACAAGCTTCTGAGATGCTGTTTTTAAGCCCCTGCTAATAGGCCATCCCCTACGTCATCAACATCAGTGCCGAACCCAAGTCCTCCTTTGTACTAAGTACAAACTCTCATATATCATTTCAGATGACTGCTCAAGCTAATTACCTGGCAGACAGATTGTATCCCACCCTCACCCCACCCCCAAAATACACACACATACATACACAGTCTTTCCCATTTCACATAAATGGGTACCTTTCAAGGCCCAAATCATTAACCATCTCCTTTGAGAAGCCTTCTCTGATCTCAACCTCTCCCCATTCCTGTTTGAATTTGCATCTCCTGCTCTATGTTTTATAGTTTTGCAGATCTGCAATAGATAGCACTTACTATAGCCTGATTCGTGATAAATAATACACACACAGTTGTACAGTAATCACTGTAAGTAGTTTTTGTAGCATGAGAGGATATGAATATAAATCAATAGAACAAATGCAGAAATACATAGCACTCTCTCCCCCATCTGACTGCTGGGCTCCTAGTTTGTTTCTGTATTCCTAGTGCCAGGACAGTGAACTCAGAAAAGCAGCCTAATTTAACTGCCTCTTTCATTATGTTGAACCCTTATTCCACTGTCTGTGCTTTCGTATCAGGGATATTACACTCATCCTTGTATTTGTTTAATCCCATACAGTTGTCGATTGCCAGAATTGTGCTGGGACACAAGATGATGCAGACCACCCCTTCTCTGAGCCTTGGCTCCCATGGCTGTAAACAGAAATGATAAAAAGTATTTCTTCATAATGTTGCTGTCAGTAAAAATAAGGTCAAGTGTAGAGAGTGCTCAACAAAGTTTGGCACATAATAAGAACCCAGTAAATGGTAGCTATTTGAACCATCCAAAGTGTTTTTATCAAATTTATCTTTATTATTATTATTGTCTGCTTAGTAAGCTGAGCCTTGAAATAGACCACCTGGGATTTAGAACAATCCTCTTAATGCCGGCCAAGGAGCACTGGGGGGTGGGGGGTGGGGCGGTGGAAACCACTTCCTGTCTACACTTTGTGTTTTCACATCATGGAAATGAGGCCAATTGGTAGGAGGGAATCATTACTCAGCAAGAATACAGTTTATGGCTTTCCAAAAAGGAAGGGCCTTGAGACTGGTCATAAAGGCCCAAGTTACATCTCTTTATGGAGCAATATGGCAGATACCTCATTTCATTAGCTAGAGCCTGAATTTCTACTCTGTACTAGTTACAGTCGTTGTTTTTGGAAACTCAGAGACAGAGCAAGATATTCAAATAATTACTGCTAAAATAGGCAAATTCAGTGAAGGATATTTTATGCCAGAGGAATAAGTCATCCTACTTGAGGAAACAGAGAGGCTTCCAGCTGCAGGGATAAGTGAGATATACTTCTGGCCTCCCAGAGCTTGCAGTCCAATCGTCTTGAGGAACAGAAATTTGGCAGTTGATTTCAGAAGCCTGCTTATTTCACTACTGATGACCCAGATTCAAAAATAATCAGGTAGTCCATAGCAATTTTTTTGCCACCGAGTATAAACTTCTTGCATAAAATGCCAATTATAACAACTCTGATTACTGCTGAGGTTGTACCATGATCTTTTTAATTTTTCTTTCATAGCAATCAATTGATCTGCTGCTTAATTCATATTTATTTAGATTGCAGCCAGACAGATGCCTTTTGGGTGCTGCCAGGAAAATTAATATGTACATATAGAGTATAATGTATGTAAAAATGCTTTGACAACCATAAAGTGCTCTGCAAAGTACTAGATTACTATCATTATTTCTTTTTAAGTCTCACTACAAATAGACAAATTTTAATGTCATTAATTTTAAAACCATTCCCATGGAAAAAAACAGAGTTACACCGTCTGTTTTTCTCTCTCTCTCTCTTTTTTTAATCTTTCAGTTCTTATCCATGTCCATTTCAAATCATGTCTCATTTCACATCTTCACACAAATGCCACCCCTAATTTCTGGAAGATATAAATGGATGCATAGCCTGTATTTGTCCCCTGCTACTCTGTGACAAGAAAAATTGTTAGGGCCAGTGGTCATGTTAAGGGATATTAAGAGATTAGGAAATATTAAAATCCCCACCAATAGGTAACTTCAAAAAAATACATACATGTGTATGTATATGTGTGTCTATATGTGTTCATATATACATGCCCTTTGGAAATGCTAAAAGCCTTAAAAGAAAAAAGAACTTGACAGCTTTTTAAGTATTTCTTTTCCAACAAAAGTTTAACACAACCAAAATATAAGAAGTGCATATTTGTCCATAGTAAGTTTGCTGTATAGAGATTATTTTAACTCCCTAAGGTCTGCTGTTTTTTTAAAATATATTTGAGGTTTCTTATGTTAATTCATGCAATGCAAGACACATTTTGAAGAAAGAGACACTAATAAGTGCAAGTGAAGCAACATTATCAACCTGAGAATATCTGGGTGGTACCTGGAGAGCCATACAAACGTCTAGAGGCAACAGCAGAAGCGAGTAGGGAGTGGCAGGGCCCATGTCCTCCTCCGTGGCCAGCCCGCCCAAGCCCAGGGTTTGTGTGTGCAGTCTGCCCACAGGTGAATTCCATGCCACAAGAGCCCCTGGATGCCGTTCATGTGTAAGCAAGTCACGTGCCCATCCTCCCACCTCACCACTACCACAATATTTAGGTCAAGAAGGACCTAAATCCCTTATTTTTTACAGATGAGGAGGCAGACCCAGAGAAGGAAAGTGACATGCTTAAGGTCACATGAAATGGCAGACCAGATGTCCTGACTCTTGGTTTACACATTTTCTTTTAACATCTGGCTCTCACCTCTTTGTCAGTGTCTATAATCAGCATCTAACCAGAACCATCTCTGTTTCAGGAAATTTGCCCCCCGATGTTCTGTGTGCAAGGAGCCTATCATGCCAGCTCCGGGCCAGGAGGAGACTGTCCGGATTGTGGCTCTGGATCGTGATTTCCATGTGCATTGCTACCGGTGTGAGGTCTGTGGTCAGCACCCCACACCCAGTCATTGCATGCCAGGCATTGATAAGCCCATTAGAGCTGGGTTTTCCTAAATACAGCAATGATTAAATCTGGGGCAGCCCCTGGTGCCTATGTTCATAGGACTCAGGTTTTAGATCTTACGTAGGCATTTAATGCTAATGACATTGATAAAGTCACCTTACCCCTTCAGTCAGTTTCCCGACCTGTCAAAAGGACTCAAATTCTTTTAAACTCCCCCAAATATGGCTATGTGACTGAAATGCAAAATTGTATATAAAAGGACATTATAAATCTTAAAGTGCTGATTAATGAGAATGGTATTATTATTATTATCAAGATCATTATACTGAATCTTTAACCTTGCTCTGACACTCCTATGGGCCAGAGATGCCATTGTCACCAGTGAGAAAGATAACAGTTCATTCCTCTCAGGGGGGTTGGAACTTCATGTTCAAAGTCATGGACATTTATTAATTTAGCAAGCACTGACTGAGCGCTAAAGAGAAGATCAGATAGCCACTAAGAGCTGCAGGAAGGGTGTGCACAAGGTGCTGTGGGTATATACAGGAGACCTGTAATCCAAGCCAGAAGTGACCAGGAAGGGCCCAAGAAGCACATAGTCATTTATACAGCAAAGAGCAGCAAGTCTTTCTCCATAATCTGGATATCAAAAGGGCACCACATTCAGAAAATGACTTTAAAACATTTTCTTATCCCAGTTCTAAATTACCCAGACACCTCTTCTAAAGCAGGTTTCTTGTTTTCTACTACCTCCTGTAAGTATAGCTGCTATCAGTTCCCTCTTCATATCTGTGAAAGACAATAGGAGCTCCCTTCTTGTCACAGACTCATGAGATTGGTGCATCTAGGCCCTATGGGAGATCTTCCAGGCTGGCAGGGCTGCTCTCTGGGGCTGCATTCGTGCCATTTCCTGCCTCAGCAATAACTGACTACCTGTGCTGCACAGGGTGCTCTGTTTTGCCCTAGAGCCCAGGTTGCTTGCTTCTCTCTGGCTTAACATGAGAAAAGAGAATAAACTACCAGCTTTTAGGCAAGGTCTTATGACCAAAGAGGAACTGCAATGTCCAGCCTTAAAAGTGGCCTGAATTATAAGTAGGAAAGAACTGATACATACCTTAGAGGTCATTTTGCAGATGGGGAAATGGAGGCTCAGTGAGGAAAGCCTCCCCAACATTCCTCACACACTTGCTGTATATACCAGTAAGCTTTGACTTTTCATTGTGGTGTTTTCTTGTGTGAGGGGTTGCATCAAATAGGCCTTTCCTCCTCCCAGGTTAGGTGCTAGCAGTTACAAATAAGTTTGCTTTGAAATTCTGGTCACTAGCCTCTGCTCTTCATGTCCTATCTGTGAAACGTGGAGGTAGCCCAAGATGCCCGGCATGGTTCCTGTGGTTCGAAGATGCAAGGCATTGATGTCTCCAGCACTGTGGTCCACTCTGGGCTCCTTGCGGTGCCCAGGTGACTGCAGATGTTAGCTCATTACATGCTTAATACCATGCCATTTATGGAATTTCCTTCTTTCTGTTCATTGCAATGAAGATTTTGCTTAACTCTATCACTCAGTTTCCCGAGTCCTTTCGGAGCTGCAGAATACCTGCTCATTCACTGGTAGAGCCAGCCTTCCTGGGGAGCATAGCTGTTCCTGGTGCTGCTGTTGCGTACTGGGAAACACCCTTTTTGAACTTTAATTCATTATTTGTCAAATGCAGCCATGAGCCCCGGTGAACCCCCCTGGTGTCGCCATGGACAGCAGAGGTGAGGCACGCAGCAGTTACAGCCTTTTAAAAAAGTTTCTACTAAAGGTAGTGAGGGTGCACACCCCTTGATGAAGTCCATTATTTTCTTTTCCAAAGAAATTTCCATTGTCTCCAAAGGGAAAGGCCAGCCTTTAACTGTTACACAACACTTTCTGAAGTGGACCTTCGGAGGTGCTACTAATAGTAGAATGATCCTTTACAGTGCTGTAGTTCTTTGCCATTTGTTCACAGTATGTTCACATCTATTGTCCTCTTTGATCCTCTGGACAGCCTGGTAAGGAAGGGATGCAGGAATTCCTCTCAGTGACGGGCAGTTGCAGAACTACCACGTGGTGCCCAGGGGCCCTGCCTCCGAGGCCAGTGCTCACTCCTCTATGCCATGCTGTCTCTTTAGGAAGTACAAGTCATCCCTCCCCACACACTCTAGGAGTTTACTTCCCTACTACAGTAGGAGTAAGTATGCAGGGCCAGTTGCTGACCCTTCTGCTTAGCACAAGTCACTCTACAGCTTTACTTTTGCCCCGAGAAGACCAAGAAATTCCATCCCTGTAGCTGCATGTTCCTTCTGAGAGATCCTGAAACTAATAATAGAGGGTAATGATAAATTAGCAATTAGGGATCTGTGCTTGTTTTTTCTCTTGTTCTTACTTTTGCTGTTGTTGGGTAAGGAGAGCAAAATTCTACTTGGCAGGTTAGACCTCGGGTGCTCCTCGTCCTGTGCCCATATGTCCTCTTAAGTGACCTTAGGAGTGTTGTTATACCCGTTGGTATTCCTGTCTCCAGTCTGTAATTCAGTTTCATTGATGACATACTCATTCATATCCTGGGGAAGGATTGGAGAGGGCTGGTGGCGTGTGACAAGCAAAGGTAGTGAACAGTCACATTACGGAGGCCTTGAGTGGAACGCTAAGGAGGTTAATCTTCGTGTCTGTGGCTCACATTTTCACTGAAATCCTTTCCACCTGTCTTCATCTTTCTAGGATTGCGGCGGCCTCCTGTCTGAGGGAGACAACCAAGGCTGCTACCCATTGGACGGACACATCCTCTGCAAGACCTGCAACTCTGCCCGCATCAGGGTGCTCACTGCCAAGGCCAGCACTGACCTTTGAGCACAGCCACCAGCCCAATGAGCCATGGGGTTGGTAGAGCAGAGAAGAGTGAAACACAAGGAACAGATAAGAAAAGAAATAGGAAAGGAGAGGAAAGGCAATCAAGCTATGGGACGGTCTCTGTTCTTCATATGCTATTAACCTTTCCTTAGAAACACATAAATGATAAGATTTTTTTTTAAGTTCTCACCAAATACACATTTCACATTTCTTCATGTAGGACCCCTGATGGGCCTTTGTTCCCAAGGACTTCCACAATTTTCACAGAGTATGCTCCATCCCATTCACTTCTGCATTCCTGTAGCTTTTAATCCCTATGTTTGTCTCCCTTTTCATACGGTTGAATGGCTGTTTTTAGCGTGGTATTTGCTGTCACACGGTTTTGCCTGGGTCAGTCTGCCAACTCACAGGTGCTTTTAGGCTGGAAGCCTCCATCTGATCTCTTTCAAACTGCCTGTAATCCTAAAGGATAGCCATTCTTTTTCTGTATATTGAAAAGTATATTTTTCTGTTGCTCTAAACCAGTCATGTCCCTTTGAGGAAAAATACAGTTTATCTGTTAGGCTATAAAGAATATAAGCTGTAAATTACATAGGTTTAAACAAGCCCAAATTTAATTTACAACCATCCAAATTCAAAACCTAAAGTGACCAGTAGTTGGGGCTCATTCAAAAATAGATATTGGTGAGAGAGATCTAAAGGTCAATCTTTTTCTAAAGAAATTACAGGTGGGATTAGCTGGAAAAAGCATTTCGGCAGTGTTTGAAAAGCCCATTATTGCCCCACGATGTTATCTTAAGATTTTGCTTTTCCATACTGCCTGGACATCAAAATACAGACAAACATAACATAGATTTCTCTAGAACATAGCATTTCCAGTACTGCCCACTTTTCAGCTCACAACTATTGCCATGTTTTTTTCTAATATCTGAACACAACTACCAAATTTGAGTTCTTCTCTAGAAGAAAACAGTTATAAAGAACAGTTGAAATTCCTTTTTTTCTCCAGGTCCTGGTCCTTCTTGCCTAACAATTGCAAATCAGGGCACACGAAATAAATTGTGTAGTTTTGTTAGTTTACTCTAAAAAGACAGAAAGCTTGAAAAGATTGTGAAACCATAGTTCCACTATTCTCATAATCCTTCTGCAACTCAAATTATGTATTGCAGGAGACATTTTCATATCATCGATGTGACATTTACACCACATTTTCAAAGACAATCAGTGAAAAAAATTGCCTTTCTGAGCTAAAAATATGCAGAGTCTCTGCCTGGAATCTTTGTTCAAATGCTTACTGGGCATTGAAATGCTTTCTTGCCAACTGCAGAGCCACACTTCTGTTAGCTTCTCACGTTTCTTTTAAGGAAAGACACCTATCTTAGTAACGGCAGGTTGCTGCCTTGTAAACTAAATTTGGATTGAGATTTCTTAAACTTTTCTTCACATCTTCCACAGTATATACTTTTAAATTATGAAGTATTTTAAGTGTACACAAAAGTATAAATAATAATATAATGAAACCCTGTATACATAACACCCAGTTTAAGAAATCAAATATAATACATATAGTTACATTCCCGTTTACCCTTCCCTAATTCCCCAAAGACCTTTTGCATGATTAATAAGTGATGAAGTCTGTTTTCTAGACTGATTTTTTATTTTAATTTTTAATTTTAACACTCAGAAATGAAAAATTATTTGTGCATGTTTTGAATTGCGAACCATGCCTCAGGAATTCCAGTTGAATTTATTTTATTTTAATAGAATTAATTGTAAAAATGGTTCGATTTTTTTTTTTTCAGTAAGAAATTCTTAAGCCTATGATCACTGTAGTTCACCTAATTTAATTTGTGACTCATTTGCTTTGATCACCAGTTTTATTTTAGAACCACCCAGGTTATAGCTTTGACCACTGTCCTTTCCTTACCTTGCTACTCTTATCCTTGATGTTGTATTCTTTCATAATGTGAAATACAGTGGGATTCACGCTGGGCAGCATGTGAATTTTGGGGTACAGTGGCAACTGTGTCTCTGGCTTTCTGTCTTCCAAATTAAAGGCCAGACCATGCTGAAGACCTCAAAGAGCACTGACTAGCAGACAGTTGGAATGATAATATAATCTCCTTGAATTGCTTCAGTAACTTGTTTTTTATGAAATCCTTGGGGAAAATTGTCTTTAGGCCGAAAGCCCAATTTAGTGAGAGATGGATTTTATCCCTTGAAGTGCAGTCATATTATTATAAATTTTGCCAAAAGAGGAAGAATTTATGAAATATTTATGCTATAAAAATGCAATAACATTCTACTTGTTTGTTACATTTAAGTCCTTATGTAACTGAATGTTTACATGCCAAAAAAAAAGTTACAGGAAAATCCTGTCACAGACCCATCCCTGTGGCACTGCCAGAAAACTGCTTGCTCACAATCTTTATAGTGCATTTTTATCACATAACCTCAGAGTATCTTTACCAAAGATTTTTAAAGTAAATCTTTTAAATATAGACTTCTTATACTTTTATAATAATGAATTGCACACATACATTATTTAGAAATATTTAGATTTAGATTTTTTTTTTCTTTCACAAGGTATGTTAAGGAAAGGATCCTACAATAGTTTATTCCAGGATTTCTTAAATATATGACTTATATTGCTTTCTTGTCCTTTCTATTAATCATGTGATTTAAGCAATGCCAAATCACTCTTTACTGTTTTAGGTACATGAAATTTTGCCTATAACAGAGATAGAATGATCATATTACCTTAACAATTGTAGTTCTACTGTCTTTTGATATATCTACTTGATTATTGTCATTTATCGTTAAGTTCATAAATAATAGGAAAAAATCATACAGTATATAAGAGAAAGTTTGTAAAAATGCACTTGTTCTAAAAACTTGTCAAAATCACAAATCCTTAGTATTTCTGTGTAACATAAGACACATGGAAATGGGAGAAAAAACCTACTGTGTCATGGGCTTTGTAGACCATTTCAAAATTAGATTTCTTCATTGTCTTGATCCCCAGTTCACACTGACTCACTGTGGAGTCTCATTTGCAAACAAAATTTTGTTTAAAGTTAAGAATAAGTAATGTGTCCCAGCAGAAGGCATGCTTTGAGATGCTGGACATAACTGAGGCTAAAAGATGTGGGTGCTTTTTCCTGTCACTAACAAATTGTTTCCATAGGAGTTACTTCTGTGATCAAAATTACTTTGTGCTGATGAATGCAGTAGAGATATCAACACTGTAATTGTTTTCTCACTATGAAAGATTCTGCAAAGATGTATTTGGTGATGTTTAAAGTATACAAAGCCCTAAATTCCTTTAAACAAGTATTTTCATTTGAGTCCAGAGGGAAAAAGAGAGCACTTTACCAAAAAGGCTATCGTAGAGGGCCTATGGAATACAAATAAGACTGAAAAAATACAACTTCCAACAGTTTTCCTAGTTAGTAAAAATCCTATTAATGTGAACCAGCCAGGAATAACAGTGTTATTTCTATTTGATATGGTTTGGGCTTTTCTTGTCAAATCTGTGTCGGCTGCCCCCTGATCCCTCCATTATCAAGTTTTGAAGGGTGTTGGGGAAATTATGGCAGCTGGTAGGGAGATCAGGGAAACACTCATGTAACCTCACAGGCTCTCACCATTCCTCTTGGCTTGAAAAGGCTTTTTTTCAATATACATTTCTAGAAATATTGCTGTTCTACCTTAGTATTTCACATTTGTAGTTTAAACAAATGATTGTCCATCTGTTGCCTAGAGCTACAGTACATGTGTGTTATGAATGAAATATGACAGCATGTTCCATACCCTGCTTTAGCCATCTGTAGGAAACCAGTAGGCTGAAAAAGATATACCTCTACAAAATGTGCCTCCAGTCCCTTTCATATGATCATTCTTTTGGTGCACTCGTAGGAGACAATCAGAGAGCAACATGCATTTGTGCCTTACTTTTAAAGAATCTTTACACTACTATGAATATGCCACTAAAGAGTCTATAACAAAAATAGCAATTACCGAATATCCAAGATATACTCACCAAAGAGTCAAACAAAATCTAGAGAAGTCTGAACCCTTTATCTTCATGTATTTCTAATAGTGTTTCTTTTCTCATTGCCTCTTGGAAGTACTTTATGGATTCCTAAATTAGGAAGACACTCTTGGGGCCAGAAGGTGACGTCCTGGGTGTTGTTAGTGGTTATGTTTGGTCTTACTCTGGGTTTAGTCAGACAATGAAGATAGAAACTTCTACTTTAGCCTTTGCCACCGACTCACATGTCTACTGGTTTGTCTTGTTTTGGCTACTTTAATAGTGGATAGAACAAGTTGTTAATCTAGGTCTGAGTCGCTATTGTGGTGCAACCATGAAGCTTTCAGGTCAAGTTATTTACTTGACAGATTACTAGAATGACGCTTTTCTTATGAGGCTGCTGTTTGGTTAGTGTATTATTTCAAACTTTTAAGAAATGATCGCATCAAAACTCCACAACTTGGTGAGAATTCTTCCTCTCTGCCCCTTTCCTTCCTTTCTCCTTCCTTCTTCCCTTCTTTCTTACATTTTTATTTTTTCCTCCCTTCCATTCTACCTCGTAGTGCTATCCTGCTTGGACTTTTCATAAATAAATTAAATGAATGTATTATGATCCTTATGGAATTATGACCATATTAAAGGAAGAAGCCTACTGCAAAATAGAGTAGCATACGTGAACCCTTCCTTTAAAGGGACATACCTTCTAGATTGTGTTTATTCAAAAAGGGAGATAAAATAATAGCATCTTTCAGTTTATTTTAATGAATTTTCATCAGGAACTCACATCATAGAGCTCTGGGCAAATTCATTTATGACTGCCCTACTTTTCTTAGCTGTATGCACAGTGATCTTTCTTAGATAAGGTTAAGTTTTATTCTTTAATTTTTTTAGTCCAAAGCATTTTGGTCAGCAAAATAATCGTATTTTTAGGTGGTAGCATGTTATTTTATTGCAATGAAACTTGATAATTGTCCTTATGGCAACAAAAAATTATACTTCCAGAATTTGTACACATAACAGCATTTTTCCCATAACAATAATATTAAATCTAAGAGTTAAAATACAGTATTTTACAGTGGATAGGGCAGCACCAGAGATTTTTCTGGAGCACAGATTACAGGCCTGTAGTCTGTTTATAAAAAGCAACCTGAGAAGCACAAGTTTGGGGCTCTCAGTATAAATCATTTTATTAAAATTTAGCTCTGAGGTTCCTTAGAACTCTGGCTAATAGTGATAAAAATAAGCTTTCTGTGTCCATTTTTATTAGTGTGTTTGGAAAAAGCTTATAATTCTAGGAATATATTTCCATTTTTTGGTTTCTATCCTCACTTCAATTTTCTGTAAGATTTCACAGGATTGACATTGATTTTCTTTTTGTGGAAGGTCACCTTCAAGGAAAGTAAAATATACTTAAAACATACTTACTGCAGTTCATAAATGAATTTGCCAAGACTTAATGATGGTCTCAGTGAGGATGTTATTTTGATATGTGGGCAGAGGTTTTTGTTTTTTGTTTTTAACCTATATTCAAGAAGAGGGGTTCAGGAGGGGAAGGAGGGATTTGAAAGAAGGGACAGTCTCCAATTACATTATCCAAGACAGTTCTCATATAGTATAACTCAGAGGATTTTCATAGGGCTTTTAGGGATCGACCATTGTGGTTGTTTAAATAAGTAGATTATTTATATTTCCAAGTTTATAAGGTATTTGAAAATCACTGTGTATAACAATGTGTTTTCTATGTCAGGAGAGAATAAGGTGAGAGCTGCTCCTAGGCGCCATGCCGTGGCCCTGCCTCCCCAGAACCTTTATGATATGTATCCTGTCATCCCCTCTGAGAGACAGGCATAGCCCCTGTAGTCCTGCAGGTGTGATATGTATTCTCACGCATTCTTAGGCACATTGTGCTATACCCTGGGAAGCTTTGAAGGTCAGAGGTCTCCATATTCACAAATTTGACAGTTGCTCCCTTTCCAGTGTACTTACCTGGTAAACACATAAATAGGAGTTTGGGGGTTTGTGATTCTCTTGTTTGAAGTCCAGTCATCACTCTCTTTAATACCTGGCCTAAACAACTATACTAGAATTGGTTTGTACTGGTTTTCTTATTTTTAGTTGCAAATAGAGAAAACTAACTTTACCTTACTCACATTAAAAAATATATAAATAAAATGGAATATTTTTCCTTAGAGGACACTTATTTCTCTATTACTTCCCTGGCCTTTGTGCAAAAAGGTGTAGACCCTATTGCAGTTATCTGACATGCTTGGGAGTTATTTTGGGAACAGTTGTGTGAAGATGCATTTTCATTAAACTTATTTCCCCCTTGGAGTTACAAAAACATTACTAAAATCTTCACTCTTTATTTTTGATTGCCATGCAATTTACAGTAGTCTCTAACCACACTAACAAATATCTCGATTTCCATCCTTCATTAGGAACAAAAATTAGTATTCTACCAGTAGAAATTATAGAGTCAAGAGAGGAGGAAACCCTACAGCTAATTCCTTTGTGATATTTTAACATGCCTCCATTATCCTTTTCTTACTGTATGTCTTCATTAAGTTTTCTACAATGGAGTCCACAATGGGCAAGAACTCCACCATCATCTATTCCACTTGGTGTTAAAATTTCCTTACAGATTCATTGATAAGTAATAATCCAGACTCTGTTAAACATCACCTGCACCAAGGAGCTTATTTTTTTTTATGAGGGTATTATTGATATACACATTTATAAAGGTTTCACATGAGCAACCTTGTGGTTGCTACATTCACCCATATTATCAAGTCCCCCCCAGACTCCATTGCAGTCACTGTCCATCAGCGTAGTAAGATGCTGGAGTCACTACTTGACTTCTCTGTGCTACACTGTCTTCCTCATGACCCCCACACACACACTACGTGTGTCAATCATAATGCCCTCAATCCCCTTCAAGAAGCTTATTATTCTTAAGGTTTTCCATTCTTGCCATCACTCTTTGTTCCAAGCTCACCTTGACTTTGAAATAGAACCAGCCTTTGGGGTATGTGTTCCTGGTGCCACACATAATTAATCTTTAGTACCTAACAAAATGTAGCTTCCTTCCTCCATTTTCCATCCAAATATATTTGTTTAGTTTTTGGCAACACATTACTTTAACATTTTTTTATTTTTTAGCTGAAGTTTCTAAAAACCTCTAAACATTCTTAAAAATAGTTTGAAGGATTTCTGAGGGCCAGGTTTTAGAGTTGATCTTTTGTTGCAGTTGGTTTTACTTTCTTATTCAAAAGACGAGCTATTCTGATAGTTGTTATATAGCTTTATGCTTTCCCCCCCTGTAACTAACCCAGCAACAGTGTCCTCCAGTTAACTGGCCTGTAGATAATAACCGTTAAATGTTGGGAAATGTCAGTGTATGATCGTCACTTCTAACAAGGAAAATATCAAAAGCAAAAGATAGTGGTTCTGTTGAAACTCTTTACTTCTGGCCAGATCTTCTATACAAAAGGAAATCATTCTTGGGGGAAGGGGTTATATTATGTTATGGTTTTATGTAGAAATGTATAGGTTCTTCCATTAGTGCCCCAGGTCACTCTTTAGTTTCAGTAGTATTCGTTGGTCTTTGGGAAGCCAAGCCTCATGGCTCCCTCCTCTCTAGTTAGCATCAGAGGGCCCTATCAGCAGAACCTGTCATCAGTCCCCTGGGCGGGACCTGGGGCTGGCTTTCTAAGCTCTAAAATAATAATTCCTAAGAGAGCTTACAAACTGCTTTCACACATAAAACAGCCCTGGGAGAGAGGTTATTAATAGCCCTATCCTAGAAGAGAAAGCTGAGGCTCAGAATTGTTAAGTGACTTGCCAAAAATGATATAGTAACTAAGTAGCAGATTCTGGGATGTACCCCATCTGATAAGAGTCCACTGCCCTCTCCACTGGCCACTCTGAGGGCACAGAATACCTCAGAGTACAATGCATGCATCTTTCAGACTTCTCACAGAGAGTAAAGATCCCTGTGTTCAAAAGTATCCAGAGAAAGTCACATAGACCATTAATTTAGCTATCAGGTGGCAAGCCCCCATGCAGATTGTGTTTGCTGTCATCTAGAGCTTGCAGCGCATTCTATGTCATCTAGATAGTCTTGTGTGATCGGCCCTGGGATAAGGTCCATGGGGCAAGGCCACACTAAGAACAAACAACTGTGGCTCTGAAGCTCACTGCAGCAAATTTCCCTGTAGACAGCTGGTTTATTCTACATTAACTGGAAAACTCTCTGAAACTGTGAGGGTCAGAATATCACCAAAATCAAATCATTTAGAATTCAGAGGAGCACAGAGGTGACTTGACCCTTAAGGCAAGGCTCTCTCCTGTGGTCTGTGATGTATGCCCCACAAACACAGAAACTGCTGAGGGTAAACAATGCATATTATTCTCTCTCTCTTCCTCAGTTCAGATTTTTGAAGCCCACCAAGTGTATGTGACTGCATCAAGCATTCCAAATTGCCCAGCCAACCCATGACCTTGAGATGTTGTGAACAAATGCCACGGGACTGAATGCAGTTCTGAACTTGGCCATTGCCCCTGGATAGACTGGGCTTCCTGGACTGTGGTAGGTTTGTGATTCGTGTATGAGTATCACAGGGAGTTAGCACTGTGTTGTTTCCAGGATACTAGGAAGCCTCCACGAATATTCTCAAAGCTGCTGCATATGGCAGTTCAGCATGTTTCAGGCCACTGCCCCTCCTGAGCTGCGTCCTTCAGGAAGCTGTGTCTTGTGATATATGCTCCTGGCGGGGGGGTGGGGGGGTGTTGTTTCCTCCCATTTCCTATTAGAGTTGTTTAGCTTTACATTAAAATCTTAGGACTGATTAAAAAATATTCTTTCTTCATCTGAGTGAAATCTACTTTAGGAAACCTTTAAAATGATCTCATCTAATAAGATTTCAAGGTATTTTCTCTCCCTGGAGTCTACCATCCATCAAGCCAGTCTCACCACCCATCTTCATATTCCCTAAGAGTTCTAAGAGGCAAGTGAAGTAACAAATAGCTTCTCACCCCTTTCCAGTCTTCACATCTGGGAGATACAGGAGGTGCCAGTGGGGCCAGAAGAGTAGTAACTAGGGCTGAGATGGCAACGTATGCAACTGGAAGGGTGCCTCATCCCCTCGTGACGTTTGATAAACATCATGGCTGATGGAACGCCAAGTAACTCTTGGAGAACAGAGGGAGTACTCGCACCCAGGAGAGGTTAGTAGATCCAGCATTTTAAGAAATTTTCAGAATTATCTAGGTGAGTGTGCCTGAGTAGAGACTCACTTGGCTAGAACCTGTGACATCTTATTAGAGGGAATGAAAGGACAGTGAGGCAGTGAGTATGAAAAGCAGCCCTTTAAGATAATAATAGAAGCCACAAACCCTGATTTATCTCTACATGATGTAAAGAAAATTATTAATAAAAATGTTTCTTCCTCTAGGCTGCACAATAGAGTCCCCCATATTTTTAGGGAAAATACAATTGTGTTGTCTTTACAACACACACCATTGATGTGCATGCACACAGGCACACACAGACATCCTCCAGGAAAGCTGATCCTTCAAAAAAGAACTCCTATTTTAAAACACGGGTTTTTCAGGCCAGGAAATTAATGATTCCCTAGGCATGACCCATTTTTGTGGCTGCCAGAAAAGAAAAAGCTGTTTAAATTTTGTATGGATCCATTTATCTCTAAACTATGCCGAAATAATTTGAGGTGGGGTGGAGAATAAGGTATTTATCTCTTCTGCTTGATTCCCTCTGTGTATTTCTATCTGTGGGAAAAAGGTGAAGAACTATTCTGGGCCATTATTTATTGCTGCGTTGTGTTGCCACTCTGTATGGTGCCTACCTTGCTTCGTGCTGAGGCAGAGGAATAACAGTTGCTCCTTTGAATCCATTTCCTCTGTCACAAAGGAGAAAGGATTAAGCCTGAGCGTCTTTCCTCACAAAATTATTTAACTCCATTTATGAACTAGTTTAGAAAATGTGAAATGGGAACTCCTAGCTTTTCTCAATACATGTCTCCTTTCTTTCTTTCTTGGGAGAGTTAGGTATAAAAAGAAAAAAAATTCAGTTCTTTCTCATCTCTTTTCTTTGGGTGACAGTTGATGATCACTTAGTACTTATAAACGAGAAGCAGGAGAATAGCTTAGCAAGGTTATGATTTATCTGCCAATGTGTTTCATACCTTAAAACACAGACTTTAAGAGGAAAAGGGATTTTTATCATTTAAATGCCACCAGTAGGAATGGCCTCCATTTTAACTTTCAAATGCTAAAAGGCAAGTTGATATTGAGGCAATATTTTCATTTTGCTAACCCATATATCTTCTGCTTAGTTTTTATATTAATGTTAGGTACATCAGTTCATCAGGATGAAATTGCCATAGGATGAAAAGTGCCTTTAACTCCCTCACTAGGTAGCAAATTGAGCTGGTATTGAAGGTGCCAGCCTTCTACCTCAACTGAAATATCTGAACTGAGGTGTACCCTTTATGAAAGAGATTTAGGATCCTGGAAACTAAATTTTGTCACCAACAGTTTATACTGAAGTAGTTGCAAAATCAGTTTTAAGTGATTCCTTTTACTGCCCACTTATTCTCTTGGGAAAGCTGATGAGCAAATTACCCAAGAATTATTTCCTTATTAAACTAAGTCAGAATATTTACCCCCTAAAAATCTGAATTATGCCCTCATTCTTTTTAAGAAACATATTAAAGAGCAAATAGAATCACAGATGATACTGGATTATGATTCTTTGCTATGAATAAAATTATGTGATTTCATGTGCCTTAAGTGAAAATTTAAACTTAGATGCAAAATTTTCACAGTTGCTTGTAGGATTAAACTCTTATGATACTATCTATGCAACGAATTACTTTGTTTTTTGTTTTGTCTTTTAAGATTCACATTCATCATTAGTTTAACAGATTTGGGGCTCTCTCTCCCCTGGGAATGTGTGCAATTACGATACTCTCCAAGAAAGGAAGGGAAAGAACTTTGCAGCACCAATCTGTGCCACGGAGTAGATGTGCCATGAAGTTACAGAGCCTGAGGATAGTAATTTTCTCTGAACTGCACACACAAGCTTTTATTTCATGGCTTTGTCGCAGGCTTTTCTCCTTCTGTGCCATCACCTTTGAGAAAAATGATTGCACCTTCTCCAAGTCTGCCTTTTTAACAGCTACAGTTGAGTTGGCAAGACTTCCCCAGCTCTGAATATAGCCATTTGCCGACTCCGGCCTCTTTGCGAGACTGACTCAAATCTGTGATCTTCTGTTCAGCATACACATCAGCAAAGTGAGAAGATGAGCACTAAATATAGGCTCTATTAACTTTACTTTTAGATTTACTGCCTTCAAAAAGTGCCTATTCTGAGAAACATAAACGTTATTGCTACATATGTATGTACACACGGTACCCAGCGTCATACTGTGCAGCCTTCAAAAACACACCATCTAAGGGAGTAGGTGCTAAGATAAGGAAACCTTGCCAAAGGAAAGGAAGTCACTCATTTCCAATATCCCCTAGGGAGTGGCACTGTGAAACGGGCTGCAAACACATTCCCTGAGCATTCCTTGCTGATACAGCCGCTTTATATTTATATCCTAGAGGATGGTGGCATATTGCTGAGGTTTATTGTACTCTGCTTTAAGGGATATACAATTTATGGAATTGGAACATTTAGCCGGGGAAAAAAATTGTTAAAGAGAATTAATAGAGCCAGAGTCGTATTAGGATATGTGTCATATGCATGTTTTATAAACTAAGCACTAGTGGCTTTAGAATGTCAGCACACCTCTCCTCCTTTTACCTCTCAGGCCACATCAGTGAAAATGAAAGAAAAGTCTTGGCTGTGAGGACTGTAGGCTCAGGGTGCTAAATGCTGTGCCAGAGCTTTAGATAATCTTGACTTTGACTCCTAAAAATTGTAGCATATGCTATTTAATGGCTTTTGTTTCCATAGTTCTGTCACTGATATTACAGCTATAGATATTGTTGCTAGAGCTGGAGCACAGTCTGGAATAATGAATTCTTACCCTGGTGTGGCAAGAAGAGAGGGCCCAGGTAAATAGGACAAAATAGATGGTGCGTGATTTTCAGAAACGGGTTGAAGGGAGGACATGCTTCCAAAAAAGATCCTTCTCAATGTGTCGTCTGACTCAACCAGCTGGCAAATTACACTTGCCAAGTCGCTCTCCTCCCTTCTAAGTCAGTTGGCTCCATGTTCACTCGAATATGCCTTTCCTTTGGGAATGCAAGATACCTCCAGTTAGCCTTCCTCCAAAGAAGCTCTTGGCCACAAAGTTGAATCCTACTCCACTTGGTTTTACCAAATGCAAGTAAAGAGGGCCGAACTGTGGAAGATGGTTTTCATGCCATTGCAGTCAGCCACCCATTCTGCTTTCCTTATAAGGAGCCCCACTACATAAACTGGGGATGAGGTTCGAACAGGCTACTGTTTCATAACTTCAAGAGCATGGACGCCTGCTTTAGTTGTCCTCATTTTTTGAGACCAATTGGCTCCCTGAAGAGTGTGATGTTGTTTGCTAACAACGTAGTCTTGCTGTTGATGTTCTTTCTCTGTTTACCTTATCCAATTTCAACACCAGTCACTTTCTGAGTTTTAGAGAATCTGATTTTAATGCTAGATAAGAGTTTAAGAATCTCTGTGAGGTGTCAGAAGGGACATTAGGACACAGAGGTTCTCCTCCTTAGAAACACGAGGGACTGGGAAAGAGGCAACATGCCTTTGCTCCAGGTTTCCATGTGATGATCTTGACTGAGAGAGGGGTTTGTGTAAACACTAAGTGATATTTACAAGTAGGTAGACTAAGGAGAGTAGAGAGACAAGAGAGAAGCCAGGTTGTCCCTATGCTAAATATGTCTACTTAGAGCAATAGCTTCCCCCTAACTTAGTGTACTCATAGCCTCATCATGATCAGCTGCTAGTCAGAATAACATTTCCTGACTTGGGGAAAGCCACACAAACACCATATAGGGAATATGCCTTTTATCACATGTGTGATACTGGCATAGCCATGGTATTCCTAAAATATGTTTTTCTTTGTTAATTTTATTCTTAGAAAATTGCATTTCTCCACTACATCATGAACCATCACTGACTTATCCAAAACAACCCACATGGTTCTTTAGGAAAATAAGAGAATAAAACCTGTTATAAGCAAGTGATTTGGGTAATTTTGTAATGATATATTATCCAACTATTTTAAATCATTTTTCTGTTTACCTTCTATCAGTTTTTCCTACCAATTATGTTTTTTCAATGCTCTGTAAGAATAAATATAAAAATCACATTGCTTTTTTTCTGTAAAAGAACCACAATTATTTTATTATAATTAGAAATCCAATAAACTTCTTATTACATTTACTGGCCTTTGTGTGGAATTCTTTTTGAGTTGGATATTCTCTGCCTTCTTTCTTCAGACCCCTTTGACTGTGCTTCATTTTTTATATAATTTGCTCTCCATAGGGTCTTCTGAGAAAGGGAATGTCTCTCAAGGTGAACATGATCCCAAGGAGAGTATGAAGGCACCAACTCTCCTCCCCAGTAGCACAGAAGATCTTAAGGTTGCATGTGTTCTAAAATTACTCGACCATTCTAAACAAAGCCATGACAAAGGAGGTGAGAATGTACAATAGGGTAAAGACAGTCTCTTCAATCAATAGTGCTGGGAAAACTGGGCAGCTAAAGAATAAACTGGATCATTTTCTTGCACTGCACACAAAAATAAACCCCTAGGAGAAAGCATAGGCAGTAAAGGATCTGTCTCCCCAGGGAAGGGGGAAAAAAAACAAAAGTAAACAAATAGGACTACATCAAACTAAAAAGCTTCTGCACAGCAAAGGAAACCATCAACAAAATAAAAATGGGAGAATATATTTGCAAATGAGACATCTGATAAGGGGCTAATATCAAAATATATAAAGAACTAATACAACGCAACACCAGAAAAACAATCTGACTAAAAAGTGGGCAGAGAACCTGAATAGACATTTTTCCAAATAAGGCAGACAGATGGCCAACAGACACATGAAAAGATGTTCAATACCACTAATCATCAGGGAAATGCAGATCAAAACCACAATGGGATATCACCTCAAACCTATCAGGAAAGCTAATATTAAAAAAACAAGAAATAGCAAATGTTGACAGGATGTAGACAAGAGGAAACCCTCCTGCACTGTTGGGAATGTAAATTGGTTAAGCCACTGTGGAAAACAATACGGAGGTCCCTCAAAAAACTAAAAATAGAAACATCATATGACCCAGTAATTCACTTCTTGGAATTTACCCAAAGAAAACAAAACCACTAATCTGAAAAGATATTTGCACTCCTATGTTTACTGCAGCATTATTTACAATAGCCAAGATATGGAAGCAGCTCAAGTGTCCATTGACAGATGAATAAAAAAGAGGCAGTATATATACACCATGGAATACTCCTCAGCCATAAACAAGAAGGAAATCTTGCCATTTGCTACAACATGGATGGACCTAGAAGGTATCATGCTAAGTGAAATATTGTCAGAGAAAGACAAATACCAAATGATTTAACATATGTGGATTCTAAAAATCAAAATAAGAAGAAATAGACTCACAAATGCCACAGGAGAAGAGAGGTGGGGGCACTGGTCAAACAGGTGAATGGGATAAAGAAATACAAACTTCAAATTATAATTAAGTCACAGGAATGGAAGCACAACATATGGAATATAACCAATAATACTGTAATATCTTGGTATAGTAATGGAGTAACTATACTTAACTGTGGTAAGCATTTAGTGATGTATATAATTATTGAATCACTGTGTTGCACATCTGAAACCAATATAATACTGTATATCAGTATATTCCAATAAAAAAATCAAATGACTCCTCTGTGTCTTAGACTTGCAAGAATTTTTCCCTTTAAGCTGGATCCATGTAAATGGGTCCTTAGAAGTGGAGGGCGGCAGTGTCTGCTACTCATCACCACCAACTAGTTGACCCTTTTACAGTTTCATTCCATCTGTATTCTGCATACTTTTTAGACACTGAGAATCTGCTCTGTACTTGGCACCTTGAAGGATTCAAATGTAAATCCAGCAGTTCCCACTTTCAATAAATCTATAGTCTAGTAGAGTTAATAGATATGGATAGAGATAACTATGGGGAAGGAAGAGAAGAATCAGACACATAGAGTAACAGCATTTTCAAAACTTTTGCTGTTCATTACATCATTTTTAATAGCTCTGTGATCTAGAATTACTTTACCCTCATTTCACAGAATAAAATGCTGAGAATGCAATAAATAAAGTTCATAACCCACGAGGAACATCCACTCCTTCACTAAATACTTTGATTTTTCGTTTTTTAAAATAACAGATCTGCAGGAGCGCTCAGTTCTGACACCCAGTCCAGTCGTCAGACCTAGAAGGTATCATGCTAAGTGAAATATTGTCAGAGAAAGACAAATACCAAATGATTTAACATATGTGGATTCTAAAAATCAAAATAAGAAGAAATAGACTCACAAATGCCACAGGAGAAGAGAGGTGGGGGCACTGGTCAAACAGGTGAATGGGATAAAGAAATACAAACTTCAAATTATAATTAAGTCACAGGAATGGAAGCACAACATATGGAATATAACCAATAATACTGTAATATCTTGGTATAGTAATGGAGTAACTATACTTAACTGTGGTAAGCATTTAGTGATGTATATAATTATTGAATCACTGTGTTGCACATCTGAAACCAATATAATACTGTATATCAGTATATTCCAATAAAAAAATCAAATGACTCCTCTGTGTCTTAGACTTGCAAGAATTTTTCCCTTTAAGCTGGATCCATGTAAATGGGTCCTTAGAAGTGGAGGGCGGCAGTGTCTGCTACTCATCACCACCAACTAGTTGACCCTTTTACAGTTTCATTCCATCTGTATTCTGCATACTTTTTAGACACTGAGAATCTGCTCTGTACTTGGCACCTTGAAGGATTCAAATGTAAATCCAGCAGTTCCCACTTTCAATAAATCTATAGTCTAGTAGAGTTAATAGATATGGATAGAGATAACTATGGGGAAGGAAGAGAAGAATCAGACACATAGAGTAACAGCATTTTCAAAACTTTTGCTGTTCATTACATCATTTTTAATAGCTCTGTGATCTAGAATTACTTTACCCTCATTTCACAGAATAAAATGCTGAGAATGCAATAAATAAAGTTCATAACCCACGAGGAACATCCACTCCTTCACTAAATACTTTGATTTTTCGTTTTTTAAAATAACAGATCTGCAGGAGCGCTCAGTTCTGACACCCAGTCCAGTCGTCTGTCCACTAACCCTTAAGAGTGCCTAGAACTAGCAGTCCATGAAACTCCTTTCATGAAATTCAGAATAGAGTATCCCTTCTCTTTCCCACTCAGGCCTTGGGTTTTCTCTCCCCAACGTCATGTTTCAGCCTGCTAATGCTGAGAAATCTGAGCACTGCAGATGCTCACACATGCAAGAGGCCACCATTTTTAAAGGCATCAGACACAAGATAAATCTTTGAATAAACAAATGATAGATAAATTCCTGGTACTCAGGATATTCATAACCTCTTGAAGTTGTAAACAAAGGAGGGCATATAACATATAAGCTTGTCATCCTTTTCCCTATTTTTCTCAGATGAGTCACTTCTGTTCTTCAGCCCCCTCTGCTCTGTTCCGATGCTGCATATTCATTCGATCCTACCCATAGAATGTGAGAACTAGGAGGTCCCTTAGAGAACTTGTGCTCCATCTGATGAGAGGAATACTGCATCCTAAAGACATGAAGGGATTGACTCACAGCCACAAGATAAGTGACTGGCAAGGCTGGATCTTGAATTCTGGCCTCCCGCCTCAGTCCAGTGCTTTTGTACCAATGAATGTGATAATTGGGAAGAGAGTAGGAAAAGTGTCGTAACTGTAATTTCCATTTCTAGAAAAAATAAAGACATTTAGAAGTAGATGAGAAGTGAGAGGGCTTAGTATCCATAGACCCTAACTAGAATAAGGTTTAAAAGATATATTTCAGGAAGAAAGAAAATAGACTAAGAAGGAATATCCATGATGTAACAGGGATGGTGAGCAAAGAAAATGGCAACAATGTGGTTCAATCTCAAGTGAGGTGGGTTTATCCCAGGAGTAGGAAAGTAGTAAAACATGGGTAAGTGTATTAATAAAACTCACTTTCACAGAACAAAATAAAAAAATACATCTCATAGATGTAGAAAAATAGTATAATAAAATAAAAACCCTTATAATAAAAAACAACCCCTTAGAAAACTAGGAATAGAAAGAAACTTCCTTAACTGAGTAAAGACTGTCTATGCAGAAATCACCTCGATAGTGAATCACCTACGTCAAGAAGGCAAAAGTTCTTAAAAAATCTTTATGACCTTTAGATTGCAAAGGATTTCCTGAACAAAATTAAAAAAACATATTAAGCTGTAAATAAAAGAATTAACTTAGACCCCCATAAAATTAACAAAGGTAGTTAATCAAAAGACCTACAATAGCTTCAAGCTGGGAAAAGGTATTTGCCAGACATAACACTAACCAGATGACTTTCCAGAATATACAAAGAATTCCTCAAAAAAGGAAATTCAATAGAAAAATGGGCACAAGAACAGGCATTTCATGGAAGAGGAAACACATGGCTAATGACATACAAAATTGCATCACTAGGGAAATGCAAATTAAAGCCAATTTGAGTTACCATTTTACACCAATCTGATCAGCAAAAATCTCAAAGTCTGATAATTTCAAGTTATCAGAGATAATGTAGAAGAGAGTAGGAAAAGTGTTCTATCTATAATTTCCATTTCAGGAAAAACAAGGATATTTAGAAATAAGTAAAAACTGAGAGGGCCTAATGTCCATAGACCCTAAATAAAAGAAATTCTAAAGGATGCACTTTCAGTTATAAATAAAAGAATTATTCATTTACAAAACAAAGGTTATTTATTTGTAATACTAGTCAGACTGTAAATAGCTAAAATCACTTTGGAAAATACTTTAGCATTACCTAATGAAGATATACACATCCTGTGACCAACAGTTCCACACTTGCACATGAACCCCATAGGCATGTACAAAAATACACAGCACTGTTTATAACAAGAAAAAACTAAAGATAACACAAATGTCCGTCCAAGGAGGACTGCTAAGGAAATATTAAAATATTTCTATAATAGAATAATGTATAACAGAATTAATGAGCGCTGTTTGAAAAAATCAAAGTCAATTCTCAGAAATGTAACATTAGAGGAAAAGAACAGTCATAAAAGAATAAATATATTCACATTATATCATTTATTGAAAACTTAAAAACAAGCAAATCTATATTGTCT